TATGATACAGCCCATACACTCTTGGATTCCTTTTTGGTGAACTTGTCTTCGTTGAATCTGAAGTAGATTTCAAGTTGTAAGAGGAAGGTGTCGAGTTCCTGTCGACTTCCTTGGTATTTGTCTGGTAAGGCAATCTTGAGTGTTTCGTTGATGGTAATTTCCTTGGGAGCGTCGGTCATCTCGACATCGTCGGTGTCGGGTGCTTGTGCCTGACTGCTCGCGGATGTATTGGTGGGTGCCATATCGTCGGTTGGTATTGAATTGGTACTTGAAGCAGAAATGGTGCTCAAAGTGTTACGGGAGCTACCTCTAGGGTCACATGGAAGTGTCTAGAGATCTCTCGAGGTGGTTTAGACTAAACTTCAAGTAGGAATTCAATAAGGTTGTAACTGGTTGCAATTCTCGTAACTATAGTATGAAACTAATGATTGATCTTGAGCACGAAGCTCTACATTGTAATGAAACCCATTCCCTTATATAGACCTTCGTTCCTTGTTGTCCCATTGATCCCATCGTGTCCCACCAGGTGGGAGCAGTGGGATCCAGTGGGAATCTCTAATCCCGTGACTTTCTGATCAGGTGACTCGGTATGTTGGATGTCGTCGTAACATGTTCCTATTTAGCATTCATATAAACTAGTTTTGTAACCCTCTTCTTAGAATTAGCTTAAATCTATGTCTTATCAAATTGCAAGATTAAATCATAGCTTGCTTGATCCCTTAAGTGAAGAATCAAGTATAAAATGAATGCTTTATATAGATCTTCTCTCCACTTACTATTATAGTTCAAAAGTATTTTCAAAAGACCCTACACCTAACATGGAGAATAGTATTGATCAGTTCAATTATATATCTGTTGCAAATCTTTTTTTTACTAAATTGATAGGTTGAATATATGTATTTCTGGAATAGGCATTAATAATTGTATTTAAAGCAAGCCTTGTTTTATCTCTCTGGCAATACAAGAGAGTATCCAGATTCTTTCTTTAAGGAGATAAGATCGTTTTGATATTTTCCTAAAACTTTTCCATTAGTATTATAGCCATAGAAAAAGTCATTATAAATTCTACTAATATTTGTGTAGTAAGTTTAATAGCTTATTTATCATCTTTCCCCAAATTTCTATTAATCTTTGAGAAATACTGAATAATAATATTAATCAGATTTAGTATAGCAAATATTTATAGAATAGGAAAATAGATAGAATTATAATTAATACGATAACTATTAATAACAGTAAGACCTTGTTATATATAGTATTAAATGATTGAGCTTAGATAGGAGATATTGAGATTTTCAAAGCCTAAAAGTGGGTAAAGAAACTGAATAATAGTTATAATAGATAATAAATTGATTATTAAGTTAATATACTATTATATTACAAAGTTAAATAAATCTTACTACAGCAAAAGCATATATAATAATATCTGTATATTTTTGTTATCTAACTTACTAATAACTACAGATAGAAATTTATGTTAAGCTATTAATTTGCTATAAAGATACAAAATATCTAAGGCTATTATTCAAGAATTATCGGTATTATATATCAGAATAATAATAATATGAATTATAGTTATAAGATTTGTTTTCTCATGGTTGATTATTATAATAAGATAATAATAATTTACGATTTTATTATTATTCTTGGGAAATCTATATATTCCTTATATTATACTATCAACTTTGGCTTTGTTTTCTTAAATTTTCTTAATAGATTTTGTTATAGAAATCTCTATAATAAGAGCCGCTGGCATTCTGAATGTTACCTAGGCCCACTCACTAAGACTATTAGTTATATTAATATACTCATTTAGGTTGAATTATTAAAAAATTATTTATTTATATATTTAAGTTATTAGTTCCAATGATGATATTTTGTCAAACTTGCTAGTACTCCTTATTTCCAAGACTAATCTATTTCAAATTCATTAATAAATTACTTACAACTTTCAAGTATACTAAAGTATTGTCACGGAATTCACCGTATAGTGTAACCCTATAGTACTAATCCTAGTACTCCTCCTGAGTACTCATTTCTATGATTACTAAGACTATTTCATTCAGTTCATTTGTGTGCCCTATATACCTAATTAGGCAACTCCTTCGCCTGATCAAGGTATATAAACCCGGTGTGATCCTTATGATCATACCTCAAGTCAATCTAGTTTATTATAACTCTATATACCTATCTCCTAATCAAAGTGATCATTAGGCCTAGCTATTACCTCCGTGATAAGTATATATTCTATATCCTTATATATAGTTTCTTAAAAAGAGAATTGTAAAAGCTTATATAGTTATGAGACTTATATCTTTGGTATTGATATTATACTTTATTATATTAACAAATTTCTGATCTAGCTTCTTATAATTCGTCTTGTTGCTTTCTATAATTGTATGTAAATAGTATACTATAGTATATATAGTATTGAATAAAAGGGATGAGTAGAATTTGTTGGAATTATTCTGTATATTATTTACAAAATATTATTTATTAAACAAAGATTAAGAAGAATAAATTTAAGTAAAATAGAAGGAGAATAAATAATAGAGAACATCTTCATCGACTATCACTATTTTTCAATGTATAATTAATACTTCTATATTATTTATCTTATTGTTAATAGGTTTTAATAAGATTACTGTACTTTGATATTAATAGTGATTTTCAGTTATTGTACTATAGATTAAATAGAGTCACTTTTTTTTATTCAAATTAGAATCTTGTATTCTTTTTTTATTATTGCAAGGCTTTCAAGAATCATTTTTACTATATTATTAATTATATAGCTCTCTTAAAGTAATACGATTAGCTTTTTCTTTATAATTTTGATATAAACCTTATAGAAACATTCTTTAGCTTGGTTCTTATTAATACATTTACTACAAGGCTGCTTGCCATTGCATTGAACAGAAATATCAACAAATTAGACTTTGGGATAATGAAAATGAAAGAAAATTATTGTGGATTATATACTTTTGATCGGACTTGTCTATAATTGGTGTATGCATTTTTTATTAATAAGCTTTTTTTTTTTTTTTTTAGAAGTCTTTTCTTCTTCTCTATTGATACTATTGAATAGTTATGAGTTGGCTAAGCTTTCATTCTAAGTATTGAATATATTTTCATTGTTTTCATACGAAAAAAGACTGCGCAGCATTATCAAAAGTCTAGAATATTGCTTTCAGTTAAAATCTGTAAATAATATCGAGTAATAATTTGAAGACATAGCTTGCTATTATTTCAGATTCAGTATCCCGCTTTCGGATTTTCTTATTATATGCAATGCGTATAGTAAGAGGGCATTAGTCCCAAGCATCTATTTTCACTTCCCAAATTAGGTCATATTCAATATTGTAAGTTAAAAAGTTACCTATTAGGCCCTTAGGGCCTAGCTGTCCTTAGACTAAAGATGAATGCTAATCAATCAATGCTTTCGAACTAACCCTCTTTTAGATTATATAAAATATTACCCCACTTTAAGTATTACCTTCAAGGTTTATCTTCAAGAACTCTATAATTATATACTCAATCAATATCTAACTAATTTTAATATACTACCAATTGAATTATAACAAAACTTTACATTCAAGATAATATTACTATAACGTAGTTTATCAGCATGTATACCATATCAGCACGTGTATCACTTCGAAACACACAAAACTAGCTTTTTATTAATATTTTTATTTGAACCAATTAATATTATTTTTTCAAAAAATCTTTTTTATAAAGAATAAGAATGAAATATTCATAAAACTTAATTGCTTTATAGATATCTCAGTTATAGCTCAAAACTATCTTACTATGCGTTATAAAAACCTTTTTCTCTTAATAATTTCCTTTCCAATCTCATATTCTAATATTTTGATTAACTTTTGTATTGTTTATATAGATAAATATAATAACTTTTTTAAAAAATCGAATTATATTACTAAATAAGTAAAGTGCACGGCTACGCACGGACGAATTTTGTATATATAAAAAATGATGCACATGCTAATAAACCACGTTAACACTTTTCACCATTACATAAGGCATACCTATACATCAGGCTTACTCAGATTATAGTTTTCCCATTACAAATGATACTATACCAACCACATCTGCAGAGCTCTTTCGATCATCACAGTTTTCTCATTACAAATAATATCATGTCAGCCATATCTGCAAAGCTCTTTCGATTTTCACAGTTTTCTCGTTACAAATGATACTGTGCCAGCCATATCTGCAAAGCTCTTTCGATTTTCACAGTTTTCTCGTTACAAATGATACTGTGCCAGCCATATCTGCAAAGCTCTTTCGATTTTCACAATTTTCCTGTTACAAATGATACTGTGCCAGCCACATCTGCAGAGCTCTTTCGATAATCACAGTTTTCTCTCTACAAATGCTCTTACCAGTAAGATAGGCGGGCTCGGGAACATACATTGTAAGTCTCACCAAGTCTTTTCTCATCGGACCAACCCTCAAATGCCCATGTAGAATTTAGACTTTTCCGTTGCGAGTAGAGGAGGTGTCTAAAGCAGAGTGGTCTACACACCGTCCACTTTCTGTAGACCGGCTGGTGTATCTTAGTTTTCTCACCGCATGACAGGCGGAGATCATCCCATACAGATACGAGGTTACACTTTTTTTCAACAAAACCGAATGAGAGGTGCAGAACGGTTTGCAATGTATATGAGGATGAATTCAAAACGGTGCAATCCAATACCCAAGGAAAACCTTCGCCTCATGGTGCAACCCTTGAATTTTGATTCAGTGGTTGTAGGCATATGTGCCAGAGGCCTTACCAAAATAGCTACCTCTGCGGGCTGAAGCAGCACAATGCGAAGTTCAAAGACGAGCTATCAAAGAGAGCAGTAAGAGCAAGAATTCTATAAAGGTTTGTGTCCCCCATCGCTCAGCAAGACCATCACATCCATCATCAAAGCTTCATTCCACTACACAGCAATCAATCAACCTCAGCAACACCAGCCCGACCTCAAAGCCTCAATATGCGTTATTCCGTACTCCTCGTCCTCGCAGCTGGCCTCCTCGCCGAAGCTGCAACCCTTGACAACTGCAGAGGTGGTCTCACCTACTGTGGCCAAGGTCTTCTCCGCAAAGGTACACATTCTTGACGATTTCTGCCTCCTTGATTACGCCCATATACTAACGATTCGCCAGGAAATTACTACGCCGATATCATCAACTCGCTATCAGCTGCTGGCCAGTCAACAGATCAAGATCACGTCAACTTCTCTCTCTTTCTCTGCCGTGGCAATGATGATGTTCCTTTCCAGAGATTCTGTGGTGCCGGGCGATGCGTCGATGGGGGAGCTGGTCGCAGTGACTACTGTTCTTAGAAGTCTGAGGCGCCGAGAAGAGGGGGAACAGGGCCCACAGAGATATGCAGTGTTTTCCAGACCTGGTGGTATCAGGAGTACACGCATGCCCCTTAACCTAGTCTGCGGAGGTTTTGTGACGCCATTGGGAATGCATTTTTGTGCTATCTATAGTGTGGTCAATCAGATTCGTATTACGTCCCAGCTAAAGCTACCAAATCTTGTAACTATCGGTTTGAACTTAAATAGATCTTATATAAGTTTGAAGAGATGTTATATATGATATGCTTTCCCTAAGAGCCCTGCACCCTTAAATGTATAGGCAGAAGTATAGCTAAATCGTATACTTATAGGGTCAACATAGACTTAGAATAATCAACGAAAGAGCTAACTATAGGGCAGAAGGGGCATGCCTATATATATGCCAGCGCGTCACGTACAGCCCACTAAGTGATGCTGGTATATAGACGCGATTCATATAGCTAAATAGCTGAATCGTTATATTATCCTCCTGTCAAAGAAGATCTCGTCCTCAAGCAACAAAAGAATAGTTAAAACTTATGTAAGAGAAGAGACAAATGTCTAACGTGATTCATCACCGAGTGGATCATATCACCGAGTGGATCACTTTCACCTCAATTGACACATTCAAATTCATATTATTCAACAACCATTGATTCAATTGATTAAAGCTATTAATAATCTAATAATCTAGGATCTATTATATCAATTTGACAAGTTCTTGTATTATGACCTGTCTTTCCACAATTACTACAACATCGACTAGAAGATGCTTCCCTATTAGAATTCCCCCCATTTTGATGCTTGTCGCGTCGAATCTGAATATCAACTTCTTGCTGAGATAATATATCCATAGCCTCCTGTCCAGTAAGTACTCCTCCTTGACGTATTTGTGTCTTTTTTGCGCGTCGACATCGGCTTAATGCTTCATTAGCTTTTCGAAGTGTACGGTTTTCTACACTTAAAAGTGTATTCTCATGTGCTAGTCTCTCTGTACCCTTAGCTAGAGCTAGTACAGTCTCAAATAAAGGTGTAGGAGAGCTTGATTGATGACGAGTTATTCGAGATTTAACTAGTGTTGATTGAGAAAGAGCTTCTGTAGGATTATGAGGAGTTTGAGAGACCCAGAGATCTAAATTGAAAGGGGGGGGAGTAGGCGTATGGATTCGAATATCTAATTTGGAAAGCACTGCTTCAGGATCAAATGGAACTAATCCTGCTCCTCGAAACCCAGCTTTCATATTCTGATTCGTGATTGACCGTTGATATACAGCTTTGAAAGCTATAAAGAATTCGACCTTTGAGATATGATTGATATGTACTCTTATAAACCCCTCAATTTGAGTACCATATTCTCGTTTTAAAGTACTAAAACATCCAATATCAAGAGGCTGAGTTAAATGACTTGAATGCAATAATAAACATACACATTTAATATCATTCTCTTTACAATAGTTCTGGAATGGTATTGATTCGTGGCTCTCATACCCATCCAGTACTAGCATTCTATATTTGCCCTTAGTTCGATTTCTTGTATGTTTATCGAAGTGTTTTAACCATTCTAACCCTGTCTCATTGTTCGTCCATCCATTAGAAGTAGGTTTAATAGCCCAATCTGCAGGAAGATCGGTTTCCGTATACCAATTGGAAAGATGCATCTGTCCTTGAACTATCAGAAATGGAGGTATAGTGTCCCCCTCACTATTGCCACATATAATCGCTGTCGCCCATTCTCGATTGCCTGGCTGTATAGCTTTACTCCTACCGGATCTCTCAGAGCTAGTAACAACCATACCAGCATTTATAATTCCCATCATAAAGCCTGTTTCGTCGAAATTCCATAAATCACAATCGAGAATACCAAATTTGTCTCGTATATTCGATATAAGTCGGAACCAATCTCCAATAAGCTTAGGATCTTCGCAGAGAGCTCTTTGAAAGCCATAAATGCGAGTAAAACGCGTCCTTAACTCTTTATTGCGTTTTACGAATCGATACGCCCATTGCTTTCCAACTCTCTTTGCTCCTCTTGATTCAAGAATGTGATTCGCCATATCTTCCACCCCCTTATGTTTAGGTGCAAAACCTCTCATATCCATATCAATTATATATTGAATAATGATCTCCTCTTCTAATTTCGAAAGGTTACTACCATTTGGTAGAGATTCGGTACGAGGAGTAAAACCATTCATTCTATGGTGTAAGTCAACTACCCCACTTTCCGACCACCCCCTGTTTCCGACCACCTAAAAAATTCATATTATCTACACTTAAAACTTTAATAACTCAATAACTATTGAACTTCAATGAAATCGCCTGTAGAATCACTTTCTATAGCACTAGAGCTATCATCTACCTCATCTTCACGATCTCCAGCTTCAATTTGTGTACGCCTTATAGCTCTAATCCCTGCGAACTTCGAATTTGGAGATACCACAACCTTTCGCCTTTTTCTAGGTAATGCTTCATCTAATTGATATTCTAGCTTTCTAATCTTATTCTCTGCCTCTAAGAGTTCATAATCCTTAGCATCGAATCCTTTTATAATCTTGCGAAATAGTAATCTTCGTGTTGGCAAATCGATCTCCTTCTCTTGAATCATTATATCTCTATATTTTCTGATATCGGCTCCTTTTTGAGGGGTTTTCCATAGAATAAACGATGAATATATATTCCATTGAAGAATAGGATCATCATCAGATTCAGGATTAAGTGATAAAACCTCTCTATTGCTATTTTCAAGCAAAAGTCGACTCATAAGAGGTTTAGCCATATTTTTGGGCCAAAGACCACTAGCTTGCCACCCAGACTTGATATTTTGAATAGTTAAACCTTCTATTCTAGCCTTCTGATAGCAAGAAAGGAAATTGCGCTTTCCAATTGGTGAGGAATCGGATAATAGACTTAATTTATTAAGTTCGATTCGATATGCACTTTTTAGGGGTGAGAACACAGATAAATCGAGTGGTTGTAGTACGTGTGACGTATGTGGTGGGAGAAATAAGAGATATATGTTGTTATTAAAGCATTCTAACATAAATGCTGTAGTTTCATGGCTTCCGTGTCCGTCCAAAATGAGGAGTCTTGAATTTTCCGGCTGAATAGGGGTAGTTTGAGGGATATAGATCTTTTTCAGCCATTCTAAAGCTGTAGCATCTGTAGTCCATCCATTTTCTGTAGCGGTAAAGTTCCAACCCTTGAATAGAGTCAAATCTGTTGGAAACCATTGTTGTTGAACTGATTTTCCCTTATATATTACAAGGGGAGTAATGCTTTTTCCATTGGCTGAAATGCATTCTATAAAAGAGGTCCAAATTCGAGATCCAGGTTGCTTTTTTTGAATAAATCTTCGATCAGTGCTTCCTACTACTAGTCCATTAAGACCCTGACCCTCCATTATACCTGCTTCATCCATATTCCATCTGTTGGCCGGCTTAATAGCCTTGATTTCAGGGATTGCGAGGTTCCGGAACCACTTCTTAATAATATCAGATGTAGCACCTGAAACTCGTGCAGAATCGATTTGATGTTGCTTCTTAGTTCCAATATTAGGATGCCTTCGAAAAAAGCTATGTATCCATTTCTTTCCAAGTGAGGGATCCTCCCCTCGTACAATAAGGAGGTGCTCTGCCATCTCTCTGATTTGACGATGTGTAGGGCTAGTACCAAGAGCTTCCTGTACTAATATCCATTCTGCTAGTCGATTCTCCTGAATTGGAGATAACTTTTGAAGTATTTGGGCGCCTTTTTGATGCGAAACTCCACCATATATTCGATCGTGAAGTGTGGTACGTGGAACACCATAATCCAAGCTAGCTCTTCGTATGCTTGCTCCATTTGTAATCGCTCTAAGAGCCTCTGCGATATCTTCTTCGGTATATCTATTCTTCATATCACAATTATAATAATATCAAAATTTCAAATCAATTGATTAAAGCATTGTTGAGTTATTCAAAGTATAAATTTTATAATTACTCAAAGCGGTGTGGTTTTTGAGGTGGTCGAAAAGAGGGGGTGGTCGGAAAGTGGGGTAGTTGACTTAGTGTTGTATAACGTAAGTCATGGCGTAATGCGTCTAATGGCGTAATGCGTCTAATGGCGTAATGCGTCTAATTGCGGGGAACCACTCTATTAAAATCTCAATTACTCAACAATCAACTATAATACAATCTCCAGTATCACTTTCAGATTCATCTTCAACTTCTTCTCCAATATCCTCTTCAGTTTCAGTTTCATATTCAATTACTTTCCCTTTCCCTTTTCCTTTTTTCATTGTCTGTACCTTAGTAGCTTTTTCGACTTCCACTACTGCATCACATAATTCTTGCGTAGAAATATGAAAATGACCCTTCAAAACTAGTCTCTTTCCTTTCTTACGTATCGTACGTTTCTTCATAATAGCTCGTAAATTATTCGCATCGTGTTGGTGAACAATACTTTGAGCTCGAAGTTGCTCACTCCCAATCGTCAATTTTCGAATGTATTGACGAACCGGGGTTGAAAGAGTCGTATCATTTTCAATTGTTGAATTTAAAAGGTTATTTGCTGTTTGTAAGATTGCTACATCCGGGGGTGAGCTATTGACGAAGACTTGGTTAAAAATATCAAATTGGGTTGGTTCTTTGGATATTTCGACTTCGGGGGTAAACTCTCGACCCAGTGTACGGAACACTCTCTGTGGATTAAATGGATGTAACCCAGCTCCCCGCCATGTCGATTCGATATTTTGATGATGGCATACGTCGGCTCGAGCTTTAATATATGCCTCCATCCATTCAATCTTTTGTATTCGTACAAGTTGAGCTTGATTCAAATCAGAAAGTGCTGCGGTGAGCCGTTTTTTCAATGGACCGAAAACCGCAACATCAAGTGGCTGAAGCAAATGCGAGGTATGAGGAGGAAGTATAAGAAGTACAATTCGATTTTGAAGGCAGTGAGCTATAAAGCTTCCACTAATATGAGAATCGTGGCCATCGCAGATGAGAAGCCGATATTTGCCA